TCAGGGCACCCTGTGGATGTGGTACCCAGGGGACGTGTCCAGGGACCCAGCGCACAGGGCTGGGGGCAGCTGTGCCAGGGACATCCCATGGCTTCTGCCATGGTGGGGAACAGACAGATGGACGGATGGACGGATGGGCAGATGGACGTCTCCCCCCCACAGCAGGGAGGTAGGGGAGGACAGACAGACAGATGTGGCTCCTTAGCCAACAAGGTGGCCTCAGGTGATGCTAACAAGCCCATTAAAGGGGTTTATCAAGGGAGGCCGCAGGCTGGGAGGAAGGCTGCTGGTTTTATCTGAGATGCTGCTTTGGGGGCCTAAAGTCCTGCTCGTTAATTAGAAAGGCTTCAAGGAGGTTTGTACTGGTTGGCCTCACTTGTGAGCAGCCGTAATATGATGAGCGATTAGGGACTCTGGAGCTTTTTAGTGGGTATCATTAAGCTACCGATGAGCTCAGGCAGGGAAAGGGCCTCCTTTTTGGCTGTGCCTGAAACCGGCTGGTCCTGCACCGACCCAGCTCTTCCTCCTGTCGTGGTCCCCAACCTCCTGAGCCCTGATGAGATGGGTGAAGCGTGTGTCCTGGGGACAACGGTGGCTCTGCTGTCACCCTGTGTCCTTGGGCTGGGTCAGATCCAGTGTCCTTCAGCTCACTGGTGAGATGGTGAGCTTGTGGTCATGCATGAGTGAAACTGGGGTGTCCTTTTTTTCCACTGTCTGCCAGGTATTGATAAAATCTGGGGGTGATTAGCTCTGAAAAGGTGGCTCCCAGGCTATTTGTTCTTCAGGGGAGAGGATGGTGATGCCTGCCCTGCCAATTGCTTTGGAAGCATCTTGCCTCCCAGAGAGCTTGTTTCCCAATTATGGGGTTTCCCCACTTGTCTGGGTGCCAACGGTGAAGCTTTCTTGCTCAGAGGACATCTTTTTGAGGGACAATGTCCCTGTCCCATCCTCCTCTTGCCCGCTCTGAGGCCCCCAAGGGCTGGGGCAAGGCAGGGAGCAAGATCTGCCAGATTTTCTGTGCCCTCCCTCATCTTCTCCTGTCTGCCTTGGCAAAACTTCAGCACCATCCTGCCCCGTCATGGTCTGGTTGGCATCACTAGCACTGTATTTATGGCAGTGTTAATTAAATACTTTATGCAATCAGTGCCACGCATGACCCCGCTCCGCGAGCCAGGGCTGGGCTGTAATGTGCCATCACCGAGCGAGAACATGACTGCCGCCGTCCTGGGGAATTTCTAACAGAGATTTACTCATCCCAAGCCTCCCATTTCTCTGTTTCATGACATTTTGCAAAGTTCAGGTTTACAAAATAAGCCAGCGCGCAGAAGAGATGCTCCAGACGTTATTTACACTGCACGTGCCATTTCCCACTCGGTTATTTACACTGCACGTGCCATTTCCCAATCGGTGGGGTCTTCACCCCGTGGCGAGCAGAACCGAGGTGGGGGCTGCCCGCCACCCTCTCCTGGGCTGGTCCCCTCTGCCCAAGGGGCCGCTGCTTTTGATGAGGACCACTCCATCCCCCTGCCGCAGAGCCCTCAGCGCTGGAGATCTCTGCTCCTCGCACGCCTCTGCGTGCCGGGAGAGCGGCAGAGAGCTGTGGTCGTGCCGATTGAAATGCTCGTGGTGTCGTGCGGCTGAACCCGCTTCTAATCCCTGCTCCAGTCCTGGGGCGAGGGATGGGGTGGGAGTGGGTACGGCCATCGCCTCGGAGGGGCCAGGCAGGGCAGGAAGGTAGGGCTGCTGCGGTTTTGGGTAGGGGTAATTTGGGATGCTCAGCTGCTCTGCTTTTAAAAATGAGCCTGGGCTAAAAGCTGTCGGGGAGCACGGCTGCGGAGGCAGCAGAATCCCGTTAGTGTGTGACAGCCTCCCAGGGTCTCGGCTATGGGCAGAAAAGCCCCTTTTGGCAAATTCCTGGTGGCAGGAGCTGCCTGCCCTGGGAGGGCGAGGCAGTTGTGTGTGTGCTGAAGTCCGGGGACGGGAAGCGGGGAGGAGGGGTCCGTCCCGGTGGGGCACAGCCAGCCCCAGAGATTTGCCCCTCCCAGCATGGAGATGGACTGGCACAAAGTGGTACCCGCTCCCTTTTAACCCGTGCCCAGCTTCTGTGGGCTTTGGCGG